AATAAAAAACATGATTGTGATGAAACCTGGACTGAAATTGAAAAAGCTATTGAAAAGGTTGTCAGTTTTATGGAAAGAAAGCCAGCATTCAGCTATGACGATTGCAATAACACATGCAGAATTAAAAGTGTCTTTCGTTTAAAAACTTTCAAGAACAAAATCAAAACTAAATGCGGAAATTGTTGAGAACGACATTAGAAGAGAAAGAATCATCATGCAACAGCAATTAAAAAAAATCCTCATTATATTATTTGTTTTGCATACGTGGCATACTTAATTTAATGAACTTTCATTAACATAACATAATTTATTTCTTTTTCCATAAAATCATTTCCGTTATATTTCACTCACCATTAGCTTATTTTGTTTACTATAAAACATTGAAAATAAATGTTAAACCTGATTTCAGTTCTTTTATTTTAATCTAAATATAACCCCTCATGTCTGAACTTTGTAACCAGTTCCTCATATCCGGAAGGACTTCTTAGTCCGGTTGCCAGGGATTCTACTGCATTAAAGTATCTATTCTTCTGGGCAATTCTGAATCCTTCTTATTCAATAATTCTGTTTTCATATTAGAGAAATAAAACGTTTTACAAGGAGATTTCAAGAATATTTCAATACCTGGAGAATATATTGAAAATATTCATTGAGAGGATCAAATGAAAAATGTCGATTCAAGAATCTTTAAAACTTATCGTCTGATTCAGAGCCACCCGCTTTTACCATTTGATTTGGCACCCTTACTTATAAAAAATCATTTGATCTCTCCTCTGATTTTAACATATGATTCCTTTCCGCTTTTAACAGATTATTTGATCACTCTCTCGTTTTTAGCATGATTAACACTTGATTTCTCCCTACTCGCTTTAACAGATTATTTGATCCCTCTCTCGTTTTTAACCAAATTTTAACGTCTGATTTATTCACCACCCTGCCAATTTTAACATCTAATTTAGCCCCCTTCCGCTTTTAACATCTTACTGACGTACATGCACGAGCTAGACTCCTATATATATATATATATATATATATATATATATATATATATATATATATATATATGTGTGTGTGTGTGTGTGTGTGTGTGTGTGTGTGTGTGTGTGTGTGTGTGTGTGCGTGCAAATATATAGGAAAAATAGGAAAGAACTCGTTAGGTAAATAATCAGAAGTTCTTTACTATTTTGTTTTTATTTTTTTAAAAATAGTGCTCAAAAGTAGAGCCTAACTTACAATTACTTTTTAAAAATATGATTCCTTCGCTACATAAGAGTTCTCATGTTTCAAAAGCAGGAGCCAAAAACTTCAATATAATTATTAAAATGAATTAAAGTATCAATAAAAAGTATTAAGTAATGAATCAATTAATATATTGATACAAATTGTTAACCCTTACGCCCCTTTATTGAAATATTTGCTTCAGCCGTTTCCATAGTAATTAATTTTACGAATGAATATGCTTATAAAGCTGCGTAAATTTCAAGATTAGTTATTCCAAAAATTTCGCTTGAGGATGAAACAGAGCTTGATAGTTTAATTCAATTTAATTCTAACAATTACATTGAAGTTTTCAGCTCTTGTTTTTGAAACATGAGAACTCTTATGTAGCGAAGGAATCAAATTTAAAAAAATAATTATATATATATATATATATATATATATATATATATATATATATAAGTGCGCAGGTATGCAGAAAATAGAAAAGAACACGTTGGGTGCATAATCCGGAGTTCCTTAGTATTTTTGTTTTTATTTTTAAGAAGACAGTGCTCCATACAGAAGTAGAACTTTATTATAATAATATTTTTTGTTTAAAAATATGATTCCTTCGCTACATAAGAGTTCTCATGTTTCAAAAACGAGAGCAGAAACCATCCAAATAATTATTAAAATTAAGTTGAATTAAGGTGTTGAGGATTTCTAAAATTTCGCTTGAAGATGAAACGGGACGAAACACCTCAATTCAACTTAATTTTAATAATTATTTGGATGGTTTCGGCTCTCGTTTTTGAAACATGAGAACTCTTATGCAGCGAAGGAATCATATTTTTAAACAAAAAAATATTATATATATATATATATATATATATATATATAATAAATACAAGAAATTAATTTTCGCTGATGTTACAAAACCAGAAATAATTACTATATAGATGAAATTAGTTTTCTTAAGTGTGGACTACTGGTACTGGAAGCAGAAACGTTACTGTTTCGGCCACCGAGCAGCTCGAGATAGGTAGATAAACCGATGGGATATATTTATTTTGTCGTGTAAATGTTTACCTGCCAGATATACGACAGTTTCAGCCTGTTTGACGTGCCCTTGTTACGGGTGGATACGAGAGAGCAGATCGCCCTGCAGATGCCTCGCAGCTTTCACAATGACCAATCTATATTAGAATTATGTGTGACAATATTGAGTTGCGTGACACCGACTCAATTGTTCGGCCTTAATGGAGTTCCCGCCAAAAGGACGCAGACGATGCGAAAAGAACAAGCGCTAATCAACTATTTTTTTTCCATAGCTATTCAATCAGGGCTGGATAATACCTTTCATTCTATTTTTTTTCGACGGACTAGTTCGCAGTTTTCCTTCGTTTTTTTTCCAAGCATAGCTTTATTTGTTTTGGACCCATAACCAATTTTTTTTTACTTTGAAGATTTTTTTAATGTTTTAAAGGAAAAATGAACGAAGGTCGTTATTTCTTCCAATTTCTTTCTTGCCTCGAGGTGATATTAATCCTTAGGGAGACACGCCCATATATAACTATTTATATATTTATAAGTCCGGCATAAGGCCACAGGCTACCCACAGTTACTAATGTTCGTAAGCTATTACCATTCTAAATACTGACCAGCACCGTTCATGCTTAACTTTTGGTGTTTTAACGAGGACTGGCGTTTTCAACGTCATTTGAAAGTAAGCCGTGAGAACTTTCCTTCCACCTCATACGCTTGTCTTTATTTCAACGTCAATAGATTTATATAGACAGAATCATATATATATATATATATATATATATATAATTTTGCAAACATTGGCGGGGGGCGAGTTCGTGACACCAAAATAAGATAAAATGTCAAAAAGGCCATCGTTGTACCTAAACACACTAACTCATAACAAATGTTTAAAATGTCCTCCGCTTGCTTCTAGACAGACATGCACTCGTCGGATTGACTGGCGGATCCTTTCGAAATACTACCACACGACGTCGAATGGTTTCGCAGGCTCCCATGACATGTTGACGAAGCATCTATAATGTCTGCTGCATAATAAACCAGTTGTTTTAGGTGGCCGCACAGATAAAAATCTAAAGAATTGAGGTCCACATGCGTCTTTCGTATTAGCAAGAGTACATCTTCTAACAGGTCTGGATGTGTGCTCGAAATAAGTCGCTGTAGACTGTTCCTCTAAGAGCTGCTGGGAGAACATATGGACCTACCAGACAGCCACCTACAATTCCAGCCCACACATTAATCGTAAACTTATGCTGGTGTCTAGCCTGTAATGTACCAAGGGGATTTCAATCCGCTTACAAATGCTGGTTGTGTAAATTTGATATTCCATCTTTTCCAAATGTTGCCTCATCCGTAAACAAGACTGAAGAGACAAACAATAGATTGACAGTGTGTGTAATAAACCATCGGCAAAAATTCTCTCATGGTGAGTGATCAAAGGGCGAAAGACTTTGCACACGTTGCAAATGATATGGATACAGGAGCTCCATGCTGTACTATGAGATGTACGACATGCTAGGGTCACTTGGCGTGTGCTGATACCTGAATCGTCTCCGACAACCTGTAGAGTGTATTCTTCGTGCTCAGGCATACGAGCGGATCTCGGTTTTCTTCGATCCATACTTTGTAGTGTCACCGATCATGTCTCGGTAACGCGACGATAAATAGCAGCAAAGGATCTGGAAACACAAATCTAATACAGCCGTGTAGCTTCGCGTCGATTATCACTCACGTGGCCGTATGTAAAAATAATATCTGCCTGCTAACGATATGGATATTCTGCCGTCGTATATATATATATATATATATATATATATATATATGCACATAGAGAGCTGGTGTTAATAAAACAGTGCTCGATGTAATATAACAGAGCTATTAAGTAGATATTAATAAATGTACATATTATCCCTCGCCGGTGTCATCGAAGTTTCAAGGACAACACAACCATTAACTGATTGTTATATAATTTAAATTTTAATTAAAATATCTGGTTAACATAATGTTGGTGCAGGCCATATATTATACGAGGATTACAGTATTTTATTTTAAAAGTATATTTTGCTTTTAAAATATACGGGTTTTTTATTTCATATGTATAAAAAAAGTTTTTTTTAAAGTTGTGAATGTTAATTTTATATTAATTTTATATTAATTTAAATTTTTATAAAATTTTTGCTAAAAGAAAACCCAAAATAAAAAATAAACAATGAGAAAGGTCATAATTTACATTAAAAAGTTATGTGGATCAACGTATTTCAATAGATATTTGTATTTACGTCTACATGTGACAATCAATTCATTTCTCTTGTTTAATAAGCTAGGGTTATTTAAGTGTTTTAAGATAATTAATTTTTCTACAAAGCATAAATGACATCTATCACCTTTCCTATTATATGATTTGGCTTTTGCTACAATATCCCACGTAATAATGGATCTATTACCATCATTCTTTAATTATCAGAAATATTTGGAAAGAGCAGTGCTGTTCATGTATCTTACATTGCCTAAAGTCATTCGATGATGGTAGAAACAATATTTCCAACGATTTTCAGTGAAATCAAAATAAAATTCGACATTATTCCCGGAATGTATGTTAGCTCGGTACACAATATTATCAGTCATACATTGGCCGTTTAAGGGGCAGATCGTATAGATGTATATCAGGTGTATTTAGTCAGCAAGTGTTCTTTCAAACAATATAAGGCTTGCAGTGTTCAATTTTTGATTAACTTTTCCTAATTTACGACTAATACTGATGTAGATTTATAAATAGATATGAATAGAGATAGGGAGATAGATAGCTAAGAACATAGCTAGCTAGATAGATAGATAGATAGATAGATAGATATGAATAAGATGAAATAGATTGCTATATAAAAACAGACGTTTGTTTGTTTGTTTAGCGGAATATCAACTCCTTATGGCCCATTCAAGGCCCAAATTTAATTATCTTGGGAGCACTAGTAATTTCGTCTATAAAAATGTATTGCTGGTAATATTTTATTTTTATTTTTATTTTTTGGCATAAATTTATGGTTGGTCTTTTTTTTTACTATGAAAATTTGTGTCTGGTATTTTTAGTATAAAATGTATTTTTATACTTTCATAGTATTTTGACACCAATTGGGGGGGTTAACTATTTGCTCATAGTTGGGACCCTAACAGGTGCTACCACCCCAAGTCTGGGTGAACCTGGGAACAACAGCGATTAAGAGGTGGTTCCGCGCTTCTCAAAACATCCCGATCTCCTTCCTACCGGATGTAGTTTGTCATCACAACCATGACGTTAAAAACAGACGTAAATAGATAGATAGATAGATATATAGATATGAGTAGGATGAGATAGATAAGAACAGACATAGATAGACAGACAGAATACAGTATAGGCTGAGATAGGTAGATGAAAAATAAGCTGATATAGATAGATAAAGAACAGACTGAGATAGATAGATTGATAGATAGATTAATAATAAGCTGAGATAGCTCGATAGACAGATTGATAGATAAAATCATAGATAGATAAAGGATAGTCTGAAAGAGATAAAAATAGGCTGAGATAGATAAAGAATAGGAATAAATAGATAGAAAGAAAGAAAATCAATAGACTTAGAATTAGGTAGATAGAATACGAACACAATGGCCAGATACTTTACGCGGTTTTTGCTAAAAGTTAATTGCATTTTAACGGTTTTGTTAACTTTTGTGCATCTATTCATTAGCAGGGGACAATATTACGTCATAAAGATTGAGCTGAATGTAGAAATATTTCTCGCCAAGGCCAACATATTGACGGAACCTTAATGAGATTTACTAAGCTTTTGATAAGCAGAAGATAAGACGACATCTGATTGGCACAGAGTAGAAATAGAATTCCTTATGCCAGTAATTATCTGACGAGCTTGTTAATTATTAATCCATGGCTATTTTCCTCTCTGTTAAACTATCTCAAGGCAGTTTCATTCAATTTTCGAAAATCTATTTTTATATATATATATATATATATATATATATATATATATATATATAGAGAGAGAGAGAGAGAGAGAGAGATAACACAAATATATATATTTTAACACACACACACACATATATATATATCATTTATTCGAAAATTGTAGCATAAATATGTTATAAAATCACTACAAAAGTAGCCATTTTGTTTCAACACTTCTGGCGTCTTATAAAGTGATGATGTTGAATGTAGAATAAAGGCTTTATTTATTCTACATTCAACATCATCACTTGATAAGACACCAGAAGTGTTAAAACAAAATGGCTATTTTTGTAGTGATTTTATAACATATTTATATTACAATTTTCGAATAAATAATTATATTTGCTTTACTCTGTATTGAGCACTCTTTTAAGGATAGTATGTGTTGATTATTGGAATTTATTCCGTATAAACCAATCCTATACTTGGATATATATATATAATTAATTTAATATATGGTGGACTCTCTCGTCGTATGAGTGTCAAGCAGCTCAGTTCCTAGGAACCAACAGCCAGACACCTGCACATATGATTTGATTATAATGGTGAAGACTTTGTGAAGAACCATCCATGCTTTTTGAAGGGCCGAATACAGAAACCTGGTGCACTACGTGCCACCAGGTCCCCAAACAACCCGCCGCAGGTTTTGATTTCAGAGTTTTCCTTCTCCTAGACCAGTTGCCATCCAAGTCTGTCCTGTTTTTTTTACCAATAGCCGGAGGAGGAAAGAAGAGGATTAATAACTTTCCTGACGGTATTATCGCGTAAGTGAATGCAATGGATTCGACTGGAATTCGAACTCGGCTCTCCGATTCCTCAGTCCGAGCCACTATCCACTACTTGGAAGACAAATATTCAGGTAATCTACATTCCTTTACAGATAGGACCCGCCATGCCAAGACACGGTACATAGAAGTTGACAGGGAAGTCGAGAGCCGTAAGAAAAGTTCTCCAAATAAGGTGAGGCGGGGAGAATAAACTATTAGTATTGTCTTACGGGTACAACTAGCAATTTCAACAGTGAAATCATCAGAAACAGAATTATTTTTACACGAAACATCTTCTTAATGTGCCATTTCCATTAAGGACGTGGGCAATCGTGGCTCTCCACAATTTCCTATCCTTTGTAGTTCTTAGTACATTTTGTCACTTCGCTATCTCTCCTAATCCTTGTTCTGCCAACCATTTCCAGACTCATGTAAAGTAGGTTTTCGCTGATTCTTCTGTCCTTCAATGTCCTGTCAGTGTTATATTTTCTAAGCCATCTTTCCTCGGTATGTGCACTAGAAATTTCAACTGTCGCTTTCTTATGTTAAGTATAAGTCTCCGTTTTTATTTACATTTTCTCTAAAACATCGTCATTGCTCACGTGTTCAGACCATGGTATTCACAGCATCCTTCTATAGAACCACATTTCTGTTGCCTCAAGTCTCTTCATCATCTGTAATGAGATTTTCTAGAATTCACTACCATATATAAGACCGATATGTTCTAACAGTTAAGTACTATTTTCTGTATTTCTAACGAAAATTTATTTTTTCTTAATATTTTACTTAACTTTTAGAAATCACCTTTCGCTATCCTAACTCGCCTTCGGATTTCGATGTTGCCTTTTCCGTCCTCTCTTAAAACACTTCCTAGATATTTAAATTTTTGTACTTGTTTGATTTTCCTGTTTCTTAATACTTTTCATAGCTATCAGAAGGCATCTTTCGCTATTCCAATTCGCCTTCGGATTTTGGTGTCGCATTTTCCGTTCTCTGGTTAAAAGCAATTTATTGACCAAGCCGTTAGTACTGTTTTTGGTAGAAATTTATAAAATCTTTCTCTTAAAACAATAATTTCTGGAAAACATTCCATTAGCTCTTCTGACTCTTTCCAGTATTTATGGAGGTTTCCTTTCTGAACTTTTATTTGAAGCGGTGTGGAATGTCGACATCTTGATTATGCCATTATTTTCTCTTCTAGTTACATGTGCTTTATCCATTTTAGTTGTAGTCTTCAAGTAATGTTTTTTTTTTCTTTCTCTTATTTGGTACAGTTCTTTGTTATTTTGTAGCGTCAGTTCACAATGTTCAAAGAGGGATGGTTTTTGCCAAGACTTCCAGGTTTTACTTGCTCAAAAAACTTGTTTAACAACTGACCCGAGAAATCGATTGTATAGAGCTGTCGCTTTAGGTATTTCTGGAAGGGTTTGTTGTCATGCATGACATTCATATAAAAGTCTCAATCTAAAGAAGGTATTTAAGAACATGACTCTTGTTTTCAGGAGGTTGTTTTCGTTTTGTAGCAATTTGCGGTATTCGGTGAAACTATCTCTAGCACAGCCTAATCTATGTTCAATTTCTTTTTCTCCTATACTTAATTTGTTATAACTGATTTATATGCTGAAGTATTTGAAGTATTTGGTATTTACTAATTCGACATCCTGAATTTTTATAATGGATTTAGAGTTATGTGTCTTCACTTGTTTCATTTCAATTCTAGATCATAGTTTCTGTTTTGGAAAGTTTATCTTGACACCCATTTTTCAGGCAAATGGATTCAGTAGCTGCTATCTCTCTTTTTAGCATTGATGGCAGTTTCCTTCCTAACCTTTTGTTTGATGTAGTGTGGAATGTTAAAGTCTTGATTATGACATTATTTTCACTTTGAGTTAGATGCGGTATCCATTTCAGTTGTTGCTGCTGTTGAAAGTCTTCAAATGATGTGATTTCTGTAGTTCAACTTGATGAGGTTTGAAATGTGCACCCGTTGGAAAACCAGTGTAATATATATATATATATATATATATATATATATATATATATATATGGAATTAATGGATTTTATTTATTTTGTATTAATGGATTTAGTAGAATTAGTAATTAGTAGAATAGAATTAATGGATTTTATTTATTTTAATCCGACATAATTTTAATTCATTTCTTAATTCAAATGTTATTTATTATTTATATATAAATATATTTGCATTTATTATTACGGGTATCCACTAAAAAATGATTGCAGTAATATATATATATATATATATATATATATATATATATATATATATATATATACTGCCATTTACGGACATACGATTTTGCAACTGATCAGTGTAGCTAGATATCAGATTGCTTCAAGCCGGTATTGAAACACGACTGATTTTGGTATCAGTCGGATATTTTACCCCATGCCATTGGCGCACGGCAGGTACGAAGGTGAATTTAGACGTATTTATTTTTACATGCCAGTGACCGGAGAACTCGATTCGTCTTAACGAAGAGTCTTGCATCGGCACCAGTAATAGCCACTGTCTACAAATTCACTTTTCTCCCCGAAGAGCTCAACCGAAATACTTTTTTAGGAGCATGTATATATATTGTCATCCCCAAACAGACTGTTTCGCTGTTTCACAGCTCATCAGTGTACCTAGACATCCGAGCCAGGATCGAAACCCAACTGATTTGGTATCAGTCGGAGTGTGTTGTTGTTGTTGTTGTGTGTGTGTGCGCGTTTGCGTGTATAAAATACCATCCCAGGCTAGATAGATTATTACATCCACACAATAATGTAGGATCCACCATCGAAGAGGGCCTTGGTGTCACGCATCCACTGGTCGAATGTAATTGAATGTAGTTGAATAATATAAATTGTGACGCATGCGAGATAACGCTCATATTTTCATTATTAATATACGCCGATAACTTTATATATATATATATATATAAGTTTCACCTAAACGGATTCCCTGACGATCCGTTTAGGTGAAACCTAGGTAGGTTTGTCTGGCTCACTAGGTGTATCTAGGTCTGCTCTACGGTTGTATTGAGCTCTTTTGTTAGTTAGTTGTTTACTCGTATCGGGGTTTTTTCTTTGGGCTTCAGACCTGCATCTGTGTGATTTTTTGTCGGCAGAAGTTCATGTGTGTAGCTCTTTCTTTTTTTAAAACCTTTTTTCCCTCGAGATTGATTTGATTAGCAAATCAAATATTCGAGGGTTTTTCGAAACGAGTCTAGTTATCTATATTTATATGTATATATGTAAATATATATAAATATGCATGAAAGAAGGATTGTTACCTAAACACACACACACGCACACACACATACACACACACACACACATATATACATATATTGAACAATAAAAAATATTAAAAAATTAAAATCTTCAGACACACTGGGTTGTATATAAATATTCCTTCGTTTTTATTATTATTTCATTTAGATTCCTCGACTAGTTTCGACCAACATGGCCATCATCAGGGTAAAAATAATTTTCTGCTTGCTTGTAGCAGTGAACTACAGAAATGATGGAGAAACTGAACTTTGTCTGTAGTTTTCATTTGTTTTTTTTTATTTAAAACATTTTTTTAACATGAATTTTGGTTAGTCTTTGTGTTGGTCAAACAGTCTCTTTTAAGTTGTTATTTAAAATAAGAGTTGGGTAGATCCATGCTGCTCTGAATTCCCTTGGTCATTTTGACAGTTTTATTGGTTGCTGGAAAGGGGATGTGTCTCTGTTAAGTGTGTGTGTGCTATTTGGTTCTTAGGGAGTGAGTGAGTATGATGTGTGTAAGTGTGTATATTTGTGTGGGTGTGTGTATAAGTGTGAGGCCTTATCACCTCCGTAAGCATGTCTGTCTTGTGTGGGTGAGAAATGTGGGTAGGTTTATATATTAATACTACCTATATTGTTAAATTTATAGTTAAGCCAGGCTGGATAGTGTGTTTTTAAACGTTGTATCCACTTATTTTCATGGAACTCTGGACTTTTCTATTCTCTCAATTATAGTGAATTTGGCATGGGTTTTGAAATCGTGTATTTTTAGGCGGAAATGTTGTTCTACAAGTAATAATTTTTCA